TCTTCTTCTTCTTCTTCTTCTTCTTCTTCTTCTTCTTCAGACTGGAGACTATTGATACGAGTTGGACAGAGATCAGTGATTGGACTTCGGTGGTAGGAGGTTGTGATACTTACTGGATTCGAGACATTGGAGATAGTTGGGATCTGTACCTCCGACATTGGTGACTCATGTCCACGACATTTTGTTCGGTGACATTTTGGGCTACCATATTGGTGACCTTCTGGATTCTATGTCGGTGACATTTGGCGCTGTCCATATCTCCCACCTCCATCGTCTCTCCTCCCACCATTCATCTGTGTATGGTTGTACGGGGCCTGAAGCATCGTCTATGTATGGCTTCAGACCCCACCATCTCACGATTGCTTGTGTGTTGAGTGATGTTTGGGTGAGTTCAGTCTATGTGAGTCGGTCCATTTCTCAGACTTCCGCTGTATACATGCTCATCCTATATTGGTTGATCTTTGGTTCTGACTATACTCGGTGAAGTATTCACTAGTATGCAAAACACACACATACACACACACACACACACACACACGCACACGCAAGTGTAGTAGTGTATGATTCCATGTTCTAGCGGAAGATTCATTCAATTTTGCTCATACTATCGATGGAAGTAGCGTGAGCCTTGAGGCCAGCCGCAGGGTTGGAGACTTACCTGTTGGCCGGTGCGTTGCTCATCCTATCGATGGAAAACTCTCTCTCTCTCTCTCTCTCTCTCTCTCTCTCTCTCTCTCTCTCTCTCTCTCTCTCTCTCGGCTAGCAACATGGCGGGCCTTTTTCCTTTTTTTCCATAGGAGATGGCTATGGCGGGATCTTTGTCACGTTGTTTGGCGAAGGAGGAGCGGGAGGAGGGGTGGGAAAAGGAGTGGGAAAAGGGGTGGGAGGAGGTGCGGGAAAAGGGAAGGGGTGGAGGAGGCACGAGAGGAGTGGGAGAAGGTTTGGGAGGAGGAGCGGCAGGGGAAAAGAGGAGGGGGTTAGGAGTGGCAGAAGGAGCACGAGGGGAAATCGGGAGCGGTGGAGGAGGCGCGGGAGGAGTGGGAGGAGGAGCGAGAGGATTGTGAGAAGGAGCGGGAGGAGGAGCGGGAGGGGAAACGGGGAGGGGGTTAACGAACGTGCGGGAGGCGGAGGAGCGGGAGGAGCGGGCGGAGGTAGAGGTGGAGGAGGAGAAGCGGGAGGAGCGGGTGGAGGAACGGGAGAAGGAGTGGGAGGAGGAACGGGGAAAGAGCAAGAGAAGCAGCGGGAGGAGCAGTAGGAGTGGGAGCAGCAGGAGGGGGAGCGGGAGAAGGAAAGGGAGGAGGAGAGGGAGGAGCGGGAGCAGGAGTGGGAGTGGGGCTATGGCGGGATCTTTGTCACGTTGTTTGGTGGAGGAGTGGGAGTGGGGCTATGGCGGGATCGTTTTCACGTTGTTTGGCGGAGGAGGAGCGGGAGGAGGAGGAGGAGGAGTGGGAGAAGGAGCGGGAGCGGGGCTATGGCGCCGGAGGAGCGGGAGGAGCGGGAGGAGGAACGACGGGAAGAGCAGGAGAAGCAGCGAGAGGAGCAGGAGGAGCGGGAGGAGCAGTAGGAGGGGGAGAGGGAGGAGGAGTGGGAGCAAGGCTATGGCGGGATCTTTGTCACGTTGTTTGGAGGTGGAGGAGTGGGAGGGGCGGGAGGAGGAGCGGGAGGAGGAGTGGGAGAAGGAGCGGGAGAAGGAACGGGAGAGGAAATTGGAAGGGGCGGAGGAGGCGCGGGAGGACTGGAAAGAGGAGCGGGAGGAGGAGCGGCAGGGGAAACGGGGAGGGGGTTAGGAGCGGGAGGAGCACGGGGGGAAACGGAAAGGGGTGGAGGAGGCCCTGGAGGAGGAGCGGGAGGAGCGGAAGGAGCGGGAACGGGGCTATGGCGCGAGAGGAGGAGCGGGAGAAGGAGTGGGAGGAGGAACGGCGGGAAGAGCAGGAGAAGCAGCGGGAGAAGGAGCAGGAGGACTGGGAGCAGCAGGAGGGGGAGCGGGAGAAGGAGAGGGAGGAGGAGAGGGAGGAGGAGCGGGAGGAGGAGTGGGAGCGGGGCTATGGCGGAATCTTTGTCACGTTGTTTGGAAGAGGAGGAGCGGGAGGAGTGGGAGGAGCGGGAGAAGGAGCGGGAGGAGGAGTGGGAGAAGGAGCGGGAGGAGTGGGAGGGGAAACGGTAAGGGGCGGAGGAGGCGCAGGACTGGAAGGAGGAGCGGGAGGAGAAGCAGCAGGGGAAACGGGGAGGGGGTTAGGAGCGGGAGGACCGCGAGGGGAAACGGGAAGGGGCGGAGGAAGCCCCGGAGGAGCGGAAGGGTTGAAAGGGGTGGGGGAGGGAGAGGTGGACATTGATTGATTGATTGATTGATTGATCGATCAAAAAAAAAAAAAAAAGATCGCCCCGATCTCCTTTTTTTTTTCAATCAATCAATCAATCAATCAATCAATCATGTTCTAGCGGTAGATTCATTCAGTTTTGCTCATCCTATCAATGGAAGTACCATGAGACCAGTATATTTCCATGTTCTGGCTGAAGATTCATTCCGATTTTGCTCATCCTACACACACACACGCAGACCGACATTGCCACGCTTCACGAAATGAGCGAGAAATGGGATTGCATCTTTCCCTAGAACATCCACTGCCACTGCATGGAAATCTACACTTCCAAAGACCAAAAATGTGGCAGTGCATATTTCCATTTTGTAGCGACAGATTCATTCCCATTTTGCTCATCCTATGGATGGAAAACTCTCTCTCTCTCTCTCTCTCTCTCTCTCTCTCTCTCGCGCGCGCGCGCGCGCGCGGGGCCGCGTTTGCATCTCGCAGCTCCTTAGTCCATACTCACACCGGGATTTCTTTTCAATGTATCTGTCCGTTTTGGTGTATCTTCCGATGTTCTTGCAGAAGATTCCTTCTCATTTTGCGAATTGGCAGGCTGCTCAGTTGATGCACAAGTGAAACTGTTGAATTGCAGACGTCAGTTCGAATCCAGCGACGACCACAATAAAGATCCGACGGCGTGCTGATGCCTTGGCCGATGCCCCCCGGAATGTTGCACGTCCCTCATGTTCTAAAACAAACACTTCAATGTCGCCCGGGCCAGATAATGGCCGTGCCTGGGGTGGGTCTGGCGCTGGGCCGCGTCTTCGCCGCGGCGGGTTCACTTGTTTTATTAACAGCGAGAAGGGACGACTTCTCCCCTCTCCCCTCCCAAGCGAGTGTAGAAAAAGAAGAAAAGAATAAGAATACGTTCTTTGATTGTAGATCCTCTCCTCCCCTCTCATCCACTTTCCTGCCCTCCCCTCCCCTCCTCTCCCCTCGTCTCCTCTCCTCTCATCTCCTCTCCTCTCCTCCGCTCCCCTCTCCTCTCCTCCCCTCCCCTCTCCTCTCCTCTTCTCTCCTCTCTCCCCTCCTCTCTCCCCTCCTCTCAAGTGTACGATCCTTTCCTCTCCTCAACTCTTTTCTCTCCATTCTCTCCCCTCCCCTCCCTTCTTGTCCTCTCTTCTCCCCTCGTCTCATCTAGTCTCCATTGGTTTGATCTTGTCTTCTCTGGTCTGGTTTGGTCTCGTCTTGTTTTGTCCTGTCCAGTCCTGGCTCTCGTCTTGTCTGGTCTGGTTTGGTCTCGTCTGGTTTTGTCCTCTCCGACTCTGTCTCGTCCCCTCTGTTCTCACATGGTCTCGTCTGGTCTCTTCTGTCTCGTCTTGTCTTGTCTTGTCTTGTCTGGTCTGGTCTGGTCTGATTCTTCGTTTTTATTTTGTTCTAGTCTGGTTTGTCTTTTTTGTTTTTTCTTTTGGTGTGGTCTCGTCTCATCTCATCTCGTCTCGTGTCATGTCATCTCGTCTGGTGTCGTCTTGTCTTGTCTTGTCTTGTCTTGTCTTGTCTTGTCTTGTATGGTCTTGTCTCGTCGTCTTGCCCCGTGTCATGTCCACTTGTCTGGTCTGGTCTTGTCCCATCTCGACTCATCTGGCCTCAGCTTATCTGGTCTAGTCTGGTCAGGTCTAGTCTGGTGTTGTCTGGTCTGGACTGGACCGGTCTGGTCTGCTCTGGCCTCGCCCTGGCCTGGTCTGTTCCAGTTACTCACCTTACCTCGCCTCGCTGCGTTGCGCCGCACAGTACAGCGCAGAGCAGAGCATTGCCAAGCGTCGCATCACAGAACATGTGGAAGGGAGGGTTTGTATAATTGATTAATTTGGCATACTAATAACATGCTGCTTCACATTCCATTGTGTTGCAGGGATATTCGACAATGTGTTGAGTGATGTTTTGTGGGCAAAGGCAGTGATGCTTACCACTACGACAGCTGCAACTGTTGGCCTTTCTATACAAATCCCGATTGCTACTGTTGCAGACATGGTTTTCAAGAGTGTTGTCCCCGGGCTGGGGATTATAGTCGGGGCCGCCATGATCCTTGTGGGCTTCTTTGGAATCTACTTGCCAGAACTACGAGAGTGACTGAAGTCCTAAGGAACGAGCGTTGATGTGCACGAGGTCGACTGCCACTCTTCTCTGGTCATGGAACGTATTGCTGCCGCACCTGACCCAGAAGCCTGGGCACCTTCATGATGCTATCTATCCCTGTCTAGCCTATCAGGTATATGCTGTCATGGCGTCCTTGCCTGGCCATTGAATGAAAGTCTGAGCTATCTGGTGTCATGTACAGCCTGTCAAGTGCAACGTGAGCGATACACTAAACATTGCCGCATGCATCTATAATGCTGTGTGTATAAGCTGTAGGTAATCCTGTAAGAATAGAATGATGAGGAGCTTGATGCCCTTTTCAAGTTTTCAGGAGGTGCGACTGGCTGTTGGGCACAACAGTCCTGATCATGGGAGCATGTACCATTCCTTGAGGAATGGGATTTGTGTCTGCGAGGCATGTTCTGAAGCCACATCCGTCTCCAAGCTTGCCTCGCATATTGGTAGATAACCTGGGTCTGTACTGATTGGAGGCCAGAGGAATTTCAGTCTCAGCTGCGGCCTGGAGCAGCCTACATGCAGCACCACCTGGCAGACGAGTTTGCAAATGAACGGCGTCGGTTGCTGCAGAGCGAGCAGTGGACGTAGTCGTTTGTCCGTTTGGCAACTGGATGGATGTCAAACATTTGTATATAAGAAACAGGAATTGCATTCCATAGTCTTTTCATTGGAAAAACAGACCCCGTGGCACGCATATGCATTATTGCTATGTCTCCTGCGGCAGTTAATCTTGGTTTGATGATTATGCCCATGTGCTTCATTCGTCACAATATGGTGGAGGAGTGGAGGAAGAACAGAGGATCATTATGTGTGAAGAGAGAGATGGGATTACGAACGCAACTTCACTGTTTGAATGAGGACACTATGTCCGCCCATCGGTGTGTTTTCTGCTGTTGCATCCCATTCGCATTCAGTCAGACTGTGCTTCAGTATAGTTGTGGAATTCAGTCTCAGCTGCGGCCTGGAGCAGCCTCCATGCACCACCTGGCAGACGAGGTTGCAAACGAACAGCATCGGTTAAGCGGTGGACGTAGTCGTTTGTCTGTTTGGCAGAGAGATGGGATTACGAACGCAACTTCACTGTTTGAATGAGGACACTATGTCCGTCTGTCGGTGTGTTTCCTGCTGTTGCATCCCATTGGCATTCAGTCAGACTGTGCTTCAGTATAGTTGTGGAATCTCTGTCATCCAATGGTGTATCTTGGCGATTCTCCAGCTAGGATGCTTAAGAAAAACCGGACACTTGTCGCGAGCTGGGTTCCATTAAAGCACCCGTATGTTTCCCGACCAGCCATTTTTTCTGATGCAGCTGTTGGCGCGCCGCAAGTTTTGAGGCCCGGCCTGCCAAGTCGAAGCTGCCGTGCACGCCAGGCAGAAAAAAAAAAGGTGGTCCCCATGCAGGCTCTGCAAAACTCAGCGCGTGGCGGGAATTGGCCTCAGGAAAAAGAGTCTTGTAAGCACTGCGGTGCGTGTTCGCTTTTGAGTGCAGGTAAAATTGTAAACCCCAGATGTTGCGGCACTCAGACACAGCAAGTAGTGTTTCAGCTCTGTGTAAGTTTCCACTTTCAAAACCTTCAGTCTTGGATTTGGGGGGACTAGCGACACGAGGGAGGGGGTGGTCACAGTCTCGCTCCCAGCGCATGCCCTTGGCATGTGTAAGCCAGAGACTTGTCAAGCGACGATAACATATCGGATGTGTTATCGAAGAACGAGGATGTAGAAGAGAGAGGTAGTCAAAGTCTCCCTGCCATCCCAACATGATCAGAGGAGTTTTGGGAAAGTTTTAACTTTTTTCCTTTTTTTTTTAGCCAACGAAGGCATTGAGGAGGGAGGTTAACAGGTTTCACTGCCCAAGCTCGTCTGGGTGTGAATCCAGTACGTTCAGCGACTTCAGACGCAGCCGATAGTGGTAGCGCCACTAGTTTGCTCGCCTTTGCATAAGTGGGAGCGCTGTAACGAGGGCAATCATGAGGTGCTGCAGCTGCTTCTTAGAGGATGAATGCATGGAGGGCTCTGGGTGTTTTCTCTGTAAGGCGACAAACAACTTGCTATCTATACAACTTCTTTGGAGGGTAGAACATAATTATAACGTCTGGGCAACTTCTTTGCTCGTGTTCCTAGAGAGCTGAACTTCTTCGTGGCGGCGGCTGCGTTCTCCACGTCCAGGGTCTTGATGAGCGGAGATTCGATGCTGGGTTCTGAGAGCATACTCAACCCCTGGATATGTCAGACTGCAATGACAGCCAGGCTTTGGACATGCTGAACCACAGTTATGCCCAGGGCTCAGTTAAAAAAGTCCTGTGCGTACGCTCCAAGTCCTGCTTGTGCTACTAGGATAGTAATGGTTGTTTGGCAGTATTGACGCCTTTTTCAAGTAAGACTTGCAAACTCTATTATGGCTTTTGGTATTTCAGACTACTTCATAACTTCTTACGTATGTATACTCATATTTCGATTCACAAGTATTACATAAATCCTAAGTCTCCAATTAAGTGGGGCTTATTAGAGAATCCTCTTCCTATCCAACGTATATATAGCTTGGCTAGCCTACCTCTTTCTCTGGTGTCGATTGAGGCGCGTTAGCGGAATATCCCAGTTTCGAAATCGGATATTATATTATGAAAGCTTAAGTACCCACTGGTATATATGCTAATTGTATTATTGTACACAATTTCCCGAAGCTATGCACATTATTCATGACTGGGCTACCTGTTTTTAAACAAGAAACTTCGAATGCTTTTGAATCTATGGTGTTAATTCTACTCTCTACTTGTAGTATGCTTTTCATGATCTCATCGTATGATTTGATTGCCATGTATTTAGCCATCGAACTTCAAAGTTTAATAAAATGCTTTGTTGAACTAGTTTTGACTGATGTTTTCGCAGTTTTGAAAAACGAAATTCGTCACAAACAGTTTCGCGAAAACAAGCCTCTAGCGAGGCCTGTAAATGAATGGGAGAATTGACTTGAAAAGTCAACAGTGTTTTGAACTTTTGTTCCATTTGTTGACATAAGACTGCTTGCACGGTTTGTTTGCAATTTGGTGCGCAGCGTGTAATCATATCATTTATACATGATTCTCCAATCATTTGCATACTTGAACGCAAACTAGCTCCATCAGTGTTCCGTCTCGAACGCATAACACTCCCAGACGGGCCAACACTGCGTGCCTCCTGGATGTTTCCGCCGGGCCAGCGGCACGGGTTGCGTGCCCCCTGTGCACCAAATGAAATTAAACAGTCAACGCTGCGCCGTCCATTTACATTTCATTTCACTTGGAGTCAGTATATGCATGTAAAGTGTCGACTGGTGTTATATATGGTGGGAGGCCAGAAGGCAGAGGGTGGAGGGTGGAGTGTTTGTCGCAAACTCCCTGATAACTTGAAGGACTTGGTGTGATGGGAGCTTGCTTCAGTGCCTTGGCCACATATTCTTTTCGTCTTTGCCAGAATAGGGCAAACTCCCTTCCAGTCTGTTGGCAGCAACTGAGGAGAGGCCAGTGCACAGGTCGATTGCCAATTAAAAGACTTTATTTGACGCTGTGTTTCTCAACTTTCTCTCTTTTTTTTCTTTTCTTTTTTTTGAAACATCGGCAAGGGTGTGGGCGGGGTGCTAGTAAGAGCAGACAACCCCTCTACACCCTCGTTATTGGGTGGCTCCGTTCCATTGGTGGGAAGCTGCACCTGCCGGAAATCTGGTCCAGCATCCCTTCACGTCGAAATCCAGGAACCAGTGTTATTAGAACACCTTGTTCGATTCCCGATCCCAAGTACTATGTCTCTGCCCACAGCTGATCCTTTGGGCTCTATTTTCCTTTTGAACTTGATAAGGACCTGATTTAGCAGGCCGTGTCTCCCCCATTTTGCGGTTGACAACTCTTGCTCCAGACTTGTACTTGATCAGTCGTCACTTGGGCCGGCGTCGCTGTTGATTTTGACGACTGCAGGTCCCGGATAAGTGCCGCCCGCCAGCGTTGCTGGGAGCCTTTTTGTTACGGACTCCGCCAGGGCTCGATCCCTGGTCTATCTTTTTGCTGTTTCGGCGGCATCCCGTTTTCGGCCTGCCACCCTTTTTCCGAACCCCTCCTTTGGTACGGTAGGATTTTGGACAACTGCCGCCATGCTGGAATTCGGGCGCCACTTTCAAATACCGCATTTTTCAGTTCTGCCCTCGGGGCCTTTGCAGAAATGCCCCTGGTACCGTACGTGTCACCGGTACTTATATCGGCTCGCCGTATGGTACGGGGACCGGTCTCGTACCAGTTTCAGCTGCTGTACTTGTACTCAGTGGGACTTGCTCCTGTTTTCGGCATTGGGAATCCAAGACTTCGACTTTGTGTCCTTGCCACTGTCTGTGTCCGACCCTGAGTCGTGTCGAGTGAGTGAGTGTGCTCTCACGCTCTCCCTCTATCTTCCCTCTCCCTCGGCTCTCCCTGTCTCCCTCAGCCTTGCGCTCGTCACACTGGTATCGGAGCGGTTCGAACCCGCCCGACCCACCCTGCTTCGTCGTCACCACCTGGCCATCATCAGCATCATCATCGTGATCGTCGTCGTAGTGCCACGGCATCGTCGTGATCGTCGCTGTCATGCCAAGTCATCATTGTCATCGTCGCCGTCGTGCCATGTCATCATCGTCACCATCACTTCATCATCGATACACCCAAGGCTATCTCTCCTGCTCAGACTTCGCCACCATTTACAACAAGCTCCGCGATCTTGATCCAGTTCCCGAGTACTCCCTCCACAACAATCTCCTCTACATCGATACCGAAGGCACTCGCCGACTTTGCATCCCCGACGCACGAGGCCTCCGTACTCGATTCTTGGCCGAGCACCACGACGCCAAGACCGCAGGTGCGCAGGACATCTTGGTTTCCAGAAAACCTTCGACACCATCTCCCGCTACTTCTATTGGCCTTCCCTACTTGCCGACGTAAAGGCATACATTCCCTCATGCCCCACGTGTCAAGCTGTCAACCCCTTGAACCGGGCCAAACCCGGCAAGCTCAAATCATTGTCCATCCCAACTCACCAGCGGCAGTCCATCTCCATGGACTTCGTGTGCGGCCTCCCCAAGACCGACCGCGGGCATGATTGCATCTACGTCATTGTCTGTCGCTTGACCAAACGTGCCCACTTCATCCCTTGCACGACCTCGCAAAGTGCCAAAGACGTCGCCACACTCTTCTTCGACCATGTTGCTCGCCATCACGGCCTCCCCGAGAACATCATCAGTGACCGTGATCGTCGCTTCCTCTCACAATTCTGGAAACACCTCTTCACGGCCTACGGAACCACGCTCAAGTATAGCACTGCATTCCACCCACAGACCGATGGACAAACAGAGAAGATGAACGATACACTCCAAAGAATCCTGCGGAAGTATTGTCATCCACACCAACACGATTGGGATCAGTTGCTCACAGCCGCCGAGATTGCCTATAACAACGCTGTCTGCCCCTCCACTGGCATGTCCCCTTTCTACCTCGACCTTGGCTACCATCCCCGCTTGCCCTCTGATTTCTTGCTTCCCTCGCAGCTTAGCCCCTCCACCCCTTGCCCCTCTCTCAATGAATGGGTAGCAACAATGAACAGACTCCTCAGAGAAGCAACCGAAGCCCTTGAAAGAACACAAGAACAACAAACCAACAAGACTAACAAACACAGACGTGACGTGTCATTCAAAGTAGGGGACAGAGTCTGGCTTTCTGCCAAACGCTTTGAACCCGAACAAGGCTTGTCCAAGAAACTCTCGAACAAGTGGCTCGGTCCCTTCCCCATCATTGAACAAACCTCTCCCGTGAATTACGAACTTCAGCTTCCATTTGACATGCGTCGCGTCCACCCAGTCTTCCACGTATAATACCTCAAGGAATACCACGAATCCCTGGCCCAGTTTGCTGACCGCCCTTATCCTAGACCTCCACCAATCATGCTTCCAACAGGCCCAGAATTCATAGTCGAGTCAATCATAGGACGAATAACAACTCAAGTATCAGATCACCCGGAACCAATCACCGAATACAAAGTAAAATGGACTGAAGAATCAAAATGGGAACCCCTTGATAATCTCAAATATGCCATGAAACTTGTTCGTGCCTATGATCGTGCCTACCCTGTATCCTAGCTATATCCTGGCATAAATCCTAAACCCTCCCTTAAGACCCTGCTACAACCTCGCAACCCTGCTCTACACACGCCCTTGAACCCAGCTACCCTCCCCTTGATCCTCTTTCCTGGTGTCTGATCTGTCGTCGCCCTCGCCTAGCCTTGTCCCAACTGTCCTCTCCACTACCTTGTCTCTCTTGTCCAATGCTTGTGAACCTGCATGACACCGGCGATAAAGGATCTAATGGCAACCGCACGAGGACGATGGCCTGTTGCCCCACTGTTCACGGAGATTATGCAGCTGGTTTGGCCACCATGCTGTTTCATCAGCCGGCATCCGCGAGTCAAGAAGCAACTTGTGACATGGATCTTTGCATCAGTCTGCGACTTCCTTGCTTCCAGATCAGACCTCATTGCAGTTCGTGTACCGGACGCACCCTAGCACTTGGACTTTGACACTTGAACCACTACTACGCTTCTTGGACTTCTACCTATTGCAGCTCCTGAAGACCGCTTCTACCACCTACTCCAAAGACCTGATCAAGACCGCTGCAGACCCCCTTTCAAGACACTTGGACACTTTGTTCCTACATGAGATTCTGCTTCCGACTCCTTCGGACACACCAGCCTTTGCATCCTGAACGAACATTTTCATTTTTATTTTTCCGACTTTGACAACCTTGTAGAAAATCATGAAAGATCCCTGTTTCCCTAACCATTGTTTCCCGTACCCACTAGAACATTGATAGACATCCCCTGTTCCCCTGACCATTGTTTCCCTTACCCAGTAGAACTTCAATAGAAGTCCCCTGTTCCCTGAACTTTGTTCCCCCTTAACCTATAGCAAACCATGCAGTCCCCTTAGTTCATCAATATAGTTCATTTGTAGGACTACCCTGTTCCCTGTAACCCCCCTAGTTCATCAGTAGGACAACTCTGTTCACCGGTACCAAACCCTGTTCCCTCTTGCTCACGCAGCCCATGCCACCCACATTATACCCCTCTTCACTTTTGACTTGTTAACCCGTGATCGTCCCCGTCCCGTCCTTCACAGATTTCAGCATTGCTTCATGATTTTTGGCAGCCGGGACGTTGCCTTCTAGAGGGAGGGGATATTGTTACGGACTCCGGCAGGGCTCGATTGGTCTATCTTTTTGCTATTTCGGCTGCATCCCGTTTTCGGCCTGGCACCCTTTTTCCAAACCCCTCCTTTGGTACCGTAGGATTTTGGACAACTGGCGCCATGCTGCAATTCGGGCGCCACTTTCAAATACCGCATTTTTCAGTTCTGCCCTCGGGGCCTTTGCAGAAATGCCCCTGGTACTGTACGTGTCACCGGTACTTATACCGGCTCCCCGTACGGTGCGGGGACCGGTCTCGTACTAGTTTCAGCTGCTGTACTCGTACTCAGTGGGATTTGCTCCTTGCCACTGTGTCTGCGTCCGACCCTGAGTCGTGTCGAGTGAGTGAGTGTGTGTGTGTGCTCTCACTCTCTCCCTCTCTCTCCTCTCTCCTTCGGCCCTCCCTGTCTCCCTCAGCCTCGCGCTCGTCACACTTTCTGTTGCTGCCTTTCCAGTGTGGTGTCAGAGCACTGTCCATCGTACCATTCGGCGTCCAACTCCTGTCTGTATGTCGTGTTCTGTCTGTGGATCCATTCGACGTCCAACTCCCCGTCGGCGTGTCATGTATGTCTTCCTGTCTGCAGCAGCAACGGCACCTTGACGTCAGGCTGGCCGGGAGATGGGGGGGGAGGG